GCAGTGGCGACTGCCAATAGGAGTGAGATGTGAGGTCATGTGACCGTCTCCTGTCAGATGCTGTTTGAGTGTCTGTCAGTAAAATGAAGCTGATGATTGCACTGCTCTGTGTGATTGATCTCTGCACACATGCAGTGGTATTATGATGATGTGTGGAACAGTCAGATTGATTTATATATTGATTATCCTTCATGTCATATGATGATCGTGAGATGCAGTTTTGTTAAATCAGAATGACATCTTATGTTAGTTCCAGTAACTTTAATATATCAATTGACATTTGGTCAATGCTTGACCTAATTTAATTCCTAATTTTTTGTCATTTTGAGTGATTTCCTCTATGCATTGGTATTTCAAAACCACCAGTGTTTTATTTTTTTTACTTGGTTTAACCACAGTGGCATCTCTAAGTACCCCATAAAACAATATTACAGCCATATAACCTACGATTAGTTGTGCAACTTGACACAAAGACGGCTTCTGTGGCTAAACCAGGTAAAATAAAAATAAAAACTAGTGGCTTTGCAATACCAAAAAAAAAAAAAAAAAGTATTACATTATGTAAATTCAAATGATTTAACTTAATTAAAATGCTTAAAAACATACAAATCAAGAAATCATTTCATATTTTATTCCTTTTAACTATTGTTCCTGTGTTTCCCAGTTTTGTTCATAAAATTAATTTGAAAATGTCTTTAGAATGACTGACCTAGAGCATCCGGGTTTAGGACTCCCATATAAATGCAGCATTGTTCAGACTCATCGTGTGTTTGTGTTCTGTTTTACTGCGATCAGAGCTGTTCTAGAACATTTCTGAGTTGGTCTGGGTTGAATCTCTGATAGAAAGCAAGTGAAGTGTTTGTGGCGTCAGTCCAGGTCATGTGATCAGACAGGAAGTGGTTTGTGTCCCGGTGTAGTGCTGCTCTCTGAGCTGACAGCGGATGGATGAGTGTTTCCTGGGTCAATAGATGTGTGTTTTTAACATTCGTGAGAAGGCCGAGGGCCTTAAACAGGGTTTCTGTGTCCATGTTTAACTGTACGAGTGTGAGGATTGATGGGATGTTTGTGTGATGCTGAACAGGTGCTTGTGCTCTGGATCTTCTGAAGATGTTTGAATCTGTGCCTTGGTGTGTCTCTGTGTGTCTCAGGGTGTCTCAGAGTTTCTCAGAGCGTCTCAGTGTGTCTTGGCGTGTCTCTGTGTGTCTCAGCATGTCTCAGTGTGTCTCAGAGCGTCTCAGTGTGTCTTGGCGTGTCTCAGAGTGTCTCAGCATGTCTCAGGGTGTCTCAGAGCGTCTCAGTGTGTCTTGGCGTGTCTCAGAGTGTCTGTGTGTCTCAGTGTGTCTCAGAGTGTCTCTGTGTGTCTTAGTTTATTGGCTTGTCTCAGTGTGTTTCAGAGTATCTGTGTCTCACCATGTCTCAGAGGGTCTCACAGTGTCTGAGTTTTCTCTGTGTGTCTCAGATTGTCTCAGCATGTTTCAGTGTGTCTCACACTTGTCTCAGAGTTTCTCAGAGCGTCTCATGTCTCAGAGTGTCTCAGTGTCTCAGAGTTTCTCTGTGTGTCTCAGAATGTCTCATGTCTCACACTGTCTGAGTGTCTCAGTTTCTCAATGTGTCTCTGTGTGTCTCAGATTGTCTTGGTGTGTCTGAGTGTCTCAGTGTGTCTCACAGTGTCTGAGTGTCTCAAAGTTTCTTGGCGTGTCTCTGTGTGTCTCACACTGAGTGTTTCAGTTTCTCAATGTGTCTTGGCGTGTCTCTGTGTGTCTCAGTGTGTCTCAGAGTTTATTGGTGTGTCTAGGCGTGTCTCAGAGTATCTCTGTGTCTCACCATGTCTCAGACGGTCTCACAGTGTCTGAGTTTTCTCAGTGTGTCTTAGATTGTCTCAGTATGTCTCAGTGTGTCTCACACTGTCTGATTGTCTCAGAGTTTCTTAGTGTGTCTCTGTGTGTCTCAGAGTATCTCATGTCTCACAGTGTCTGAGTGTCTCAGTGTGTCTCTGTGTGTCTCAGAATGTCTCATGTCTCACACTGTCTGAGTGTCTCAGTTTCTCAATGTGTCTCTGTGTGTCTCAGATTGTCTTGGTGTGTCTGAGTGTCTCAGTGTGTCTCACAGTGTCTGAGTGTCTCAAAGTTTCTTGGCGTGTCTCTGTGTGTCTCACACTGAGTGTTTCAGTTTCTCAATGTGTCTTGGCGTGTCTCTGTGTGTCTCAGTGTGTCTCAGAGTTTATTGGTGTGTCTAGGCGTGTCTCAGAGTATCTCTGTGTCTCACCATGTCTCAGACGGTCTCACAGTGTCTGAGTTTTCTCAGTGTGTCTTAGATTGTCTCAGTATGTCTCAGTGTGTCTCACACTGTCTGATTGTCTCAGAGTTTCTTAGTGTGTCTCTGTGTGTCTCAGAGTATCTCATGTCTCACAGTGTCTGAGTGTCTCAGTGTGTCTCTGTGTGTCTCAGAATGTCTCATGTCTCACACTGTCTGAGTGTCTCAGTTTCTCAATGTGTCTCTGTGTGTCTCAGATTGTCTTGGTGTGTCTGAGTGTCTCAGTGTGTCTCACAGTGTCTGAGTGTCTCAAAGTTTCTTGGCGTGTCTCTGTGTGTCTCACACTGAGTGTTTCAGTTTCTCAATGTGTCTCGGCGTGTCTCAGTGTGTCTCAGAGTTTATTGGTGTGTCTAGGCGTGTCTCAGAGTATCTCTGTGTCTCACCATGTCTCAGACGGTCTCACAGTGTCTGTGTTTTCTCTGTGTGTCTCAGATTGTCTCAGCATGTTTCAGTGTGTCTCACACTTGTCTCAGAGTTCTCAGAGCGTCTCATGTCTCAGAGTGTCTGAGTGTCTCAGAGTTTCTCTCTGTGTCTCAGAATGTCTCATGTCTCACAGTGTCTGAGTGTCACAAAGTTTCTTGGTGCATCTCTATGTGTCTCACACTGTCTGATTGTCTCAGAGTTTCTCAGTGTGTCTCAGAGTATCTCATGTCTCACAGTGTCTGAGTGTCTCAAAGTTTGTGTCAGATTGTCTCAGAGTGTTTCTGTGTGTCTCAGAGTATTGCAGTGTATCTCAGTATCTCAGAATGTCTTATCATGTCTCACAGTGTCTGAGTGTCTCAGATTGTCTCAGTGTGTCTGAGAGTGTCTCGTGTGGACTGGAGTGAGTCTCTGTTGTTCCTGCAGGGGCTCAGAGTCATTAATCATGTGACTCACCTGAGCTGTCTGGATGAGGAACATATTACTGCTTAACTCTCAGACAGGAAACACACACCACTGATTTATAACACACGCATCACATGCTATTTTTACAAGCGCAGCAGTGCTTAACGACCCAACTGATTATTTTGGAGCATTTTATAATGAGAGTGACGCCTAAACAGTCATAATTTAGTTTTATTTGACTCTTTACAATCAGAACTTTCTCAATCACATAACTCATTCATGTATGTAAATGAGCTGTGCTCTGATTGGCTTTGCTCAGTTCTGTTGTATGTTACTGAGCTCATGGCTGTGTTGTCATGAAGGTTTGTGAATGAATCCAGGTCTGTGTTTTGTTTAGGAAGAGCAAGAGATGAGCGAGACAGAGATTTGTGTGTGTCAGGATGTTTATACAGCAGACAGATTTCAGCTCCGCTCCGGCTGTAAACACATGTCACATTCTCAGCACACACAAACACACACACACACACACACACACACACACACACACACACACACA